AAAAAAACACACACACACACACACACACACAATCTGGTACAGCTACCTTTATGGGGACCTGGCATTGACTTCTATTATTTTCTACAGCCTAACTCTGACCTCACATGTACCTACCTGACCCTAAAACTAACCTAAACTCAATTCACACCTTAGTCCTAAACTTAACCCCCAACCCACCAACAGCTTTTCCCATTAGGTCCCCATAAGTGGCATTAGGTCCCCACAAGCAGGCGTGTATGCCAAAAAAATGTCCCACGACATAAGGAATACCAGTCCCCCTGACCCACCAACAGTATTTCCCCCAATGGGGACGAGGCTTGTCTCCATAAGGAACAGTGGATCCTCACCAGGCTGTGTGTGTACTAGCAAAATGGTCAAAAATCAACCCCACCAGGTAACAAAAATACTGTATGTCCACACACACACACACACACACACACAGAGGCAGAAACATTGTCCAACTTAATCTTACAGCATGAGCGATAAAAATGAGTTTCTGAAATATTAAACTGAGGTCCACATTATTAGTCTTAGGCAGGACATTTATTGATTAAAATCCTCTTTTACCTGTTAATATTCTTTTTAAAAAGCATTCACATAATAAGTAATAATATAATTTAAATAATCAGTAATTTTATGAYGGACTTGTGACTTTCACCAAGTCAGAGACAAGCTTCTTAGATTTAGATCAGCTTTTCTGATTTATTGTACTTTAAAAATATAAATTTTTCAGCCTTCGGGATCATTTTAATGCTCTTTTCACAACATATTTTGGTGTTTTTCATGAATATGATGAAGGAAATTTAAACTGACAGAAGATGAATTAAAACATCTCTTGTACATTAACGGGTCAAATGATTTGAGGCCGTTGTCTTTCTAAGTGTCCACATTCTCGTTTCAGCTCTCCTGTTCGGTGGGAACGTCAAAGTGAATCCCGCTCACCCCAAACAGATCGGCAGCATCGATCCCCACTGTGGGGTCAGCGAGGTTATCAGGGGTGAGGATTGATGGTTTTCGCTCCCGTCACGAGGAACGTGTTGACCAACTTTATTAATAAAGCTTTTCCTAAAAACGAACCGTTTCTTTGTAGATGCGTACGAAAATGCAAGAAACCTTTGTGATCGTTACTACATGAACTCTCCRGAGCTGATCCTGGAGGAATTCAATGGTTTGGATTTTAGCACGAGCATCCACGAGGACAAAACGATTATTTCACCTACTTCACAATGAATTGTCAGTGGATAAATGATTTAAAATAGTTCTGTACAAGTGCAATTAATACATGTTTGTCCTTCCAGCCAAAGGCGATGGGAAGCCCATCACTGTTGTTTACGTTCCATCACATTTGTATCACATGGTGTTTGAGCTGTTTAAGGTGAGCTTTGCTTTTTAAACTCCCGTCATTACACCTGTCATCACCTCACAGCTGCAGGATTTGTCTTTCTGTGTGCCGACTTGTCACAGAACGCCATGCGGGCCACCATGGAGCTGCACGGAGATTCCATGGAGTGTCCGCCCATTCACGCGCAAGTCGCACTGGGAAAGGAAGATCTGACTGTGAGGGTAAATGTGCCGACTTGAGCAGAATAAACTGTCCTGTGAAAGTTTAATGAAGCAAAACTCGAGTTGTGTTTTAGATCAGGGGTTCTTAACCTTTTTGACCTCGGGGCCCAATTTATTGAACATAAAGTGACACGAGGCCCAGTCAGACATTACCA